ATTCTCCCTTTGGGTGAGTTTCTCCTTGGGTCACGTTAGTTTGTTTTTCTCATATTCGATGTGACCATCTCCTTCTTTTCATTTTATGCTATGGAGCAGTACTTTATAAATCGCTATGAGGCATATATGTCTGTTGATGGAGTTAACCTCCGAATATCATGTGTTAACTTCTCTGAACTTGACAGACTCCAACAGAAACAGTGGTTATAGGGGTTTTGGGGGCGGAGAAATAGGATAGGCAGTGAAGGAATGTGTAGAAGTGTAAAGTGACAACATTAAGTTAAAGTTTTTTACAGCGAACGCCAAGGATAAGTTGTTCTGTATGTAACTTGAACGTGTGCGCGGCTCTTCGCACCGCGGACTTTACTGATCTAACTCCAGAACAGTAAGTTGGACCTCAAACAATTTGAAGTAGATGACATCCTAACCACTATTTCTATTTTTTCATGTATATCAAGAAACCTGTATTTTTATAATCGGGTTTCTCCGCGATACGTTAAACAATAATACAGATTAGGTAAATCTACAGATGTAAATCAACATCATTTCTAATTAAAATAAAATAAAAAATGCATATAGCAGTTTTTAAGGTATATTCCCCTGCCTATCCTAATTCCCCGCCCGTAAAACCCCTATAACCACCGTTTGTATAGGAAAATGCTGGAACAAGGGATATATGCGGTGCACTACTTAAACTACTGCTGCGCTTTTTTGAATAGAGAACTGAAAGAGCCATTTTTTTCAGCCATAGCCTACCTTAATCTCCTGATTATTCGCTTTTAGAAACGACGACTGTGAACACCACGACCATTTTATTTATAGCCCTTTGTCGTAACTGAGCTCGTGATACGCCTCCACTTTAGAAAAAAAATTAATGTTGTTGCGCTAAGAAGGCCTGCGCACCTATTAGAGGCAGTAGCTGAACTAGAAATCCCAGAAGAAACGCCTTCAGAATGGAGGCCTGAACATGATCCTGCAATAATTAGTGACTAACCTTTGACCTTCGACTAAGAAGAGTTACAACTGCTTTCGTTAAACTCGCCTGTCAACTAGACACTAGTCATGTGCTTCACATCGGTACACACATGACGTTTGACGTTAATGCGTGAAAGACGAACAACTGGAGGCTGTGGAAATCCGCTCCTGAGATCAGCACCACTACCAAACCTTGCGTAGTCATGTGTGACGATTTCCCCCTCACGCCGTTGACTGTTTTCAGTAAATGTTGCGCCGATATCTGGCTGCGGCTGATGGATCTCCATCTTAAGACTCATAAAAGATTTCAGACTAAGCCCGAATAGGTTTGTCCCAAATTATCAACTCGGAATTACTGTATTATTTTCTGAGGAGGTTAACAAGTTTTAATGTATATACAGCGAAGCCTCAGATGGCGAGCAGTCCCGTCTACGAATATTTCAGGTAACCAGCGAGCTTCTCGCAGAAACTTTATCTTGATTGACGAGCTTCCACTCAGTTAGAGTTAGCAGTGTGTGTGAGAGTGTGTACCTGTGTAAACTGTTGAGCCTTGGTCCCAGGGTGTGGGCCCTCGACCACCTGCAGCCAATGAATGAACTGTTTCGCAAGGCAAGGGCTTCACCTGACGGGCTTGGTGCCGGAACTGATTAAACTCGTTTACCGAGGCTTCACTGCATATATACTGTTGTAGAGCGTAGCTCGCCAATCGGTACGGAACCCCATCGTTCCGCTG